TGGTGCTGCTACAAAGAAATAGTTGTATGGTTCCAGGGACAAGCAATTACAACTTTTGAAATTAACATATAGGAGAATTTAAGCCGACTACAAAGAAATAGTTGTATGATTCCAGGGACAAACAATTGCAACTTTTGAAATTAACATACAGGAGAATTTAAGCCTATAGAAGGCTTAAAAGATGGGTGCCTATGTCTCCCTTGTCTCCGTTCTCAAGAGATGAGGGTGTGGTCATGGCTCCTGAATCTAGCCACCTTTGGTAGTTAAGACTCTTTTATCTTTCCTATCTCAATGTATTTCTCTAATACACAGTACTGTAGTTCTTATATTTTCTTTAGTTTAAAAACTCTGGATGTGATTTCTTTTCAAAGGAGGAAAGTTTGCTTGGCACTGTTCTGTTGTTCAGGGGCTAAATCCACACATTAACTTAGCTGCTTGTTCCACTAGCAGTCACTACACCGTTATCTGGTGGGTTGAAGTGGCTGGAGCCTTGGCCTAATGTTTGAATCCTTGCAGTGGCTCTTCAAATAGGGGTCAGTCCAGATCACCCAGAACATTCATGGCTCATGAGACTGTATGTCCTGCTACCTGTGCAGCCTTAGACAAGCTGCACTACCACCACCAAGAGCATCACCAGCAGGAAGGACGAGTAAAACTCATCTGAATATATCTAGAAAACCCTGATGGCACATAATTATTCTTACAAATTCTCAATCACCATACCGTGACCTGTTAAGTGGGTGCTGTATTACAGATGTCCACTGGAAACCATCTTAGTTTTCGAAAAATAAGTTTAATTGATTTTGACAAATAAAATTAAAAATACAGTTTACTATTGGAGATTTACCATTAACATACATGCTGATCTTATATGAATGAAGACCCACACTTACTTCATTGCAGAATGTGGTCTACTCATGCCTAGCGAAGAACACAGAAATCAGTTTCCTTTGCAGTGAATGACAAAACAGTTGCATGCCAGGAAACTCCTTCAATGTGTTTTGGAGCTACTGCACTGTGCCATTTTTCTCCATCTGTCATAATGATGGTGACTTTTAGATGGGAAATGCTTTAATTAAAAATTGAATCCTTTTATAGATCATAGGCGCATGATAAAATAATTCATAGGATTGTAGGAATTGCAGGTTGCACTATAATCAGCAGTTTGCCCTATTATCCAATTAATATAAAGATTTTTATTGAAGAAACTAATTACTGTTTTGTTTTGTTGTGAATTACAGCTCAGTGCACTTAGCATGCAGAAGAAAAAAGCTGCCTCCTTGTTGGAACTGGAAAATATTTAAAAGTAATGCACTGTTTTTCTCTACTGTACTGCTTGTAAAGTGAGACGGCTGAAAAGCAAATTAGAAACATTGCAACTGATCATGTAGAATGACTTGTAATTTTTTACAGTTCTTTGCTTGAACAAAGAAGCATTTTGAGACTTATGTGCAATACACATTATAATGGATAACACTAAAAATTACCAGGACTAAATATCAAAGCCATATGGAATTTCCCTTTGTGTATAAAAATAAATGTTGTCAGTTTTATGATTTCAGAGTGGAAAATCTGTATACAAAGTTTCATTTGCAAAGTTAGAAATACCTTGTTATTGAATGGGAAACTTTCCTTGTGCAACTGGTTCATTGAGTTGTAATTTTCAGTTTTAACAAACCTAACATTTTAGAATTTATTTATGAATCTGAGTGCTAGAGGTTCAGTTCAAGGAAAAATAAAATAGATATAAAACACTGGTGCTAGAACAGGGAGTTTGAAATTCAGTGTCTCATATATATAGATAGATATGGCATATACTGTATAGATATGGCATTCAAATTCATATGAATATCTTCCATTACACCTATTGCTACTTAAGTGGTGTTCTTTGCAAAATTTAGACGTACTGTATTTCATGAGTAGCCTAATGTAACCCCCTTGTCAAACCTTACCCCTTTTACTCAAGACATTGTAAAATGTACACAAGTCAGTTTTTTAAATCCTCCACTGTCCTTGTGGGGAAAGAAATTGGGAGAAACCATTTCACATTTCTTAAGGAAAATAATAAATTTTAAGGCATTCCTCAAATATATGGCTTCTGTAGCAGAACTTGCAGTATCAGTCCCACCGCCGAGTTTTTTTGCAGTCACTGAAAATGTGGACAACAGTGTTGCCAGCCTCACTACCATTTTGCTTTCTCCAGAGATTTCTACCTAATGTCGTTCTAGAGTGTGTTGGGTAGTCAGGTTTTGGAAGTTTGCAAAAGGCCTTCTGTTTCTAGGAGACCAAGGGAAACATCTTAAGAATGTTTCTCAGAAGAGTGACTTCTGATAAATACTGGTCAGTATTTATTATTCTGCATCATCTCCAGGATATCCGTTACATTTTTAAGAAATACATTTTGGTTTTTGTACTACAAATATTTATAGTACAGTTCCTTTTCTGCAAGCCCTGAAATGGGCAGGGTGGAGGGCAGTGTTGGGCTCAGCTACAGGGGGAAAAAAAATCAAAGCTCATGCTGTGCTATATCATTCATCCTCCAATTTCCTCAGTTTTATTTTCACTTCCCTATGAAAGATGCCGCCTTTTATCAGCCTCATTCTCAGAACTGTTTAGAATCTCTTTTACTTATACTTTTGAACTTTCCGTAACATTGCAAGGTGGCTTTGGGTTGCTGCATGTTTTCTTTCCATTCCACGTCTCATCACTGGGGAAGCTTCATTTTTTACCCATTCTTCCTAAAGAAGGTCTATGGGACTAGTTACCTCATGACATTTCCCCCCTGGACTTTAACTGAAGGATGTGGAAGCACCTGAACCCCAGCCATGAGAACTGCACACAATGGGCAAGCTGTGTGATAATAAAATATAAAATCACCTATTGTAGTTCAGCGCACGTAACTTTAAAACATGACCCGCAGAACTTTACCCTAGAAAGAGAAAAGCAAGGGGATGGCACCAGCTAGGAGCAATTATCAAGATGGGTTAAGAGGAGTGTGGGATTGGGGAGAAAAAGCGAGCAATGCACTGAACTACAAGAGGGGACATAAGAGTTGGCCTGTTATCCGTTCACTCTGCTCTCAGGAAACGTTATTGGCAACAACTTGGACACGTGGAGGCCACAGACGTCTTCCACCAAACAGGACTTTTAGGAATGTGGCACAAGGCTTGGCAAAACGGGGAGTTTCAAAAGTGAATGAAATAGCAATTGCTCTACTGCTATGAAGATCACTGGAACACTATCACATTAACAACAACACAGCACTGGGGTGTATTGCAAAATGTACAGCATTTATTCACATACAGACAAAGGCACAATTCTACTAAATATTTTAACAAAAAATACAGCCATCTTCAACTAGGTCTTTATAAATACTTCAAAAAGGGGAGGAAAATAAATACAGGATTGGGCCATGTAATATAAAATAGTCATCTCTACATATACTTTATTTCTGATTCTATCTGTTTTGTCATCATGCACCTGTTTTCAAATTTGAGCAAAATGGACACCATAGCTAGGCACGTAGTGAAAAATCCTCTGTACAAGGTTTTACAAATGTAATGACAGATTTTTTTCCAAAAAAATTTAAAACCAAGATTTGTACATATGTGACATGTATCACACTTTTCATTCATTTAAACTGATCTGTGTGTATCCATCTGTCTGTCTCCAGAACCTAACAGATAGCATTCCAGTCAACATTTATGAAAGTGTTTGTTAGCCTACACTTCAGCAGTGTAAGTGCATCAATTATAATTAAAAGATTTCTTGGGCAGTCTGCATAAGGAAAAGGTGAAGCTTGACAAGAAATCTCAGCTGTTTCCATATCAACAAAATGAATGGAGTTGTAGGTAAAGATTACTGTTGGATTTATAATTCTTCACTTACTGAGTGCTAAGTATGCTATGAAATCATAGATCTGATCATACTGATTTTCTTCTCTACTTCTGTAGTTCGTGTATGTGGGGAAAGCATTTATTATTTCTCTTTTTTTAATTTTTGGTTCAGCATTATTCAAAATATCAGAAAGCTTATTAACCTAAACATGATGGGGGGGCAAAACAGATAAGGCATTCTTTCTGCACAAATGCTAGCATTCCTAATAGTGCAAATGTTATCCAATACCTCTTTCAAAATTGGTCAAAATGTTCACTTAGAATCAAATTCATTTTATTCCTTCTATGGCTTGATGAACAATTCCCTACAGGGCAGGCTAACCAGTAATAGTTTACTCAGTCCTCACTTGAAACAAATACTATACTGAAAACGTGAATTCAACACATCCCTCTTTTCCTGTATATAACAACAATATGTCTGCTTTCAAAGCTGTAAACCTGGCAACAAACCTTAAAGATATGAGTAGTTTAACCAGAAGCAACAAAGCCTTATAAAACTACATCTATCATATCAATGTTTTCTTTTCCCCAGTAGTATCCAAAAATGATGTCAGTATGTTAATATTTACTATCTACGCCCCAAAGTCTTAACCTGCATGTATTCTTCCAGCCCTACAGGATAATGCATGGACTTACACATGGAATACAAAGGTGTATTGGGGGCTGGGGGAGAGGAGTCCATTCACTTCCCATTTTGGAGAAATTCCCTGCTAACAAAAAATGTGCAACAGCCCTGCCTGTATAGAGAGCTCTATGCAGCACCAGAACTCTAGTGTGTAAACACCACTAGTGAGCTAGGGCTAAGACATAAAGGCTCAATTCAGACAACCCTCCCAACTATCTGAGGAATCATGAAAAGGCTGTGGAGTTGCATTCTCTCCTCCCCATACCTGCTCACACCCTCATATGGGGTTCTGTTTCAGTTTTCTAATTAACACTAACCATTGTCTGCAATATCTGAATACTCAGACTATCCCTAAAATCACAAGTGAAAAGCCACTTTGGCTTCCGATCCTGATAAGAATAGCAAATTATGATTAGTGCTGAAGGCAAGGCAGAGGAGGGACCGTATGGACTTTACAGCTGATTTTCAAAATCATGGAGCTTTCTTTGCTCCAGATTGTCACTTCTTTTGCAAAAGCAAATGGGGATGTTTTCAGTTGGCTGGTTCTCAAATTATATGATAGTTGGAACTGCTGCTAATTATATATATATATGAGCTGGCTGGATAGTTCAGTGGTTTAAGATCTGGCTGCAGAGCCAGAGAATGGGAGTTCAATCCCCACTGTGCCACCTACGGGCAAAGCCGCCTGTGTGGCCTTGGACAAGCTGCACAGTCCCAGGACATCTCCAGAGGAAAAGAATGGTAAACCACTATGTAAACCTTGCCAAATACAGTTGCATTAATAATGAGTTAGTGACTTGCATAGCAAGATGGAACAGCAGCAATCCAGGTCTCAGGTGAAACCTCTGGAAGACTTGTCAAACTACAAGGTTTCAATTTTTCTTTCATAGGTATAAACCCATCTCATGTCCGAGAAGGGGTTATAAGGAAAATATAGTGAACATAGTGTAAATGACTGAATACTGATGTTGATGAATTACAAGGGCAGCTGTCTATTAAAAAAGAAACTGCTGTTGCTCAAACTTTCTTTTAACTAGGTTATCTCTAATTTTATATTCAAAGTTGAGTCCCAAAACTAACAGCAGCCTAAAACTATCTGTTCATATGTGTATTACAGATGCACTCTCCTAGGTGCAGAAAATAGACTCTTGGCGATCTGTTCATCTTATTATTGCTGATGGCTTACTCTCTAGTTATTGCAATTTTTTCCAAATGAAGTATTCAGAACACAAGCTCCTTAATCAAATCTAGTCCATATCATGAAATCATGTTGTTAAATTGGCTTGAATTTAAAGCGCTACTCATATCTTATTGCCTTTCCATTTCATTCAAAAAATATACATATATATTTATTACATCCTTCTTTTTGTATTTAAATTAACCCTTGTGTGTCAGAAACTTGCATATCCCAACACATTCCATTAGTGCACATTGGGGAAAGGCTGCCAACCAGCTCCTTCAGAAATGTGGTCATGTCTTCATGGCAAATTTCAAGTTTATCTGTCATAGCTTTCCCTAAAGAAGCCTGGAAATTGTAGTTTGATAATGTCCTAAGAATTCTTCCTTGAAAAATGGCTCATCCATCACAGTACTACAATCCCCAAAATGGTGAACAAAGCATGACATGACAGCAAATCCTAAGGGTATTTGCAATGCAGACACATTCAGTCTCTCCCATTTGAATTGTCATTGTGTATCAGATGGGCAGGTGCCAGCAGAGTAAAGCTGGCTACAAACCTACCTTCTTTCTCAGAACAAGATAAAGTACTTTAAGACATAGATGCCCTCCAAATTTGGGGAGCTGAGTAGTTCTTAATCCACTCTTCAACTGGGTCCCTTCAGAAAAGCACTGTGCACTGCTACCAATATTTTTTACAACTGGACAGCTTCGTTCTACCCCTTTAGGTATCTAGTAGTCATGGTGCGTTTGTCTCACCTAGCTGATGGGCACCATATGGCAACTCTTCAGGGGCTTATGAAGATTTTCAGCTGCCAACCTCCTGATTTTAAAACAAACAAAAAACTGCAGACTACTAGGACTTAATCCTAACATAGCCTGATGAAAGTGACAATTTAGAATGGGTTACACAGTGCAGAGTGGCCAGAACCACTACATTTAATTCATTATCCTCCTGTGTGTACTAACAGCTTGTGCTTTTCAGGGACAGAGAGGAAAATCCTCAGTGCTATCCGCTCAAACCAGGGTCTCCCTCCTTCACAACCAACCCACATGGTTTGATTTTTATTTGATTTTTCAAACTAGTGTTCAACCTCTTGGATCAATTAGTGTAGCACATTTTCTCAGATCATTTCTTCAGGCCAGTCATAACTAGAGATTCAAACCTCACAGACATGAGAATGGGCGGAGGGCAAATTCTTACTGCAGTGCACGTAAACATATTTCTACAGCCCAAGAAAAACAGGTTCATCATTGGTTTGTCTTGTAGCCACATCTACAACCCTCCTCGTCTCACCAATAAATAACACAGAGTGATCCCCCCCCTCCGGGCCGGACCTTCACTGACTCCAGTGCTGTTACTGTGTGCCACTCTCTAGTCAGGAGGCAAGGATGCTTCTCCTAATAATGTCTGTCCTTCTGGGAATAGTGCTGTTTGAACCGAGCCTTTGCTGTCTGCATTTCTTCTCAGCCATCTCGGTTTCGGAATCACTCATCTCAGCATCAGGGGCATACCCGTCATTCTCACTGTCCACCTTAAGGTTGCTTTTCACCCTGTCTTTAGGGGACATTTGACTCAGACCCGAGTAAGGGTATGTAGAGTTTTGGCGACATGCCTCTTCCTGTCCGTCTCCCTGTTGTTGTCTTTCCCCTTTCTTTGGAATTCTGAATCCTCCCCAGTTTTTCACCGGGCTTCTGGGTGTTGTAGGCACTTTAACTGGAGCTGGATTATAGTTTATTTTGAAAAAGGATCCATTACATTTAGACACCATATCCCTCCGGGTTCCAGGTGCTGACCTGCCACTAGGGTGATTTACGGCCCTTTTGTTGTCTAACTGCCTCTGAGACAGTTCGTTGGATCTCAGAGGTTTGTGGTTGTGTTTGGGAGGTTTCTCCTTCAATCCTGTTTTCATTAAGTCACAGTGAGAATGATTGTCTCTCCTCTTTCTGTGGTCTGCTGTAACAATCCCATTCTTCTGTTGTGCTGATCCAAGTTGTGCTTCTGCAAATGACTTTTCAAAGTTGAAAAAGCTACCAGGAATTGCAAGGCCTTCCCTTTGGCTAGGCTGCTTGAGCAAAGGTTTGTCATCAGGCCCAGAGCTCCTCCTCATCCGCTCTCTCTTCTGTGTTTTCTTCAAGGAGTGATTCAATGACATGCCCATTTGCTTTCTGAAAAAAGCTGAATGCCATTTTAGATCCTCTATCTTAGGTGCGTCTGGGCCAAGTGGCGAACTGTTGAAAAGCACCATGTTTTCCATTGAGGAGAAGGAGGAAGGCATGCCTGGAAAGACACAAATTTGTTCATGGTTATTTCAAGAAGAATTAAACAATTTTTGAGATTTACACCCAACACTGCTTTTTCTTAAATTACTAGACTGGATCCAGATTATTTTGAAGTTAAGGCCCATTTGGTTAAGTGGCAACAGGATATAAGATAACTGTCCCTTGATTTTAATAGGACATAACTTCAGTTAAGTTAGTCTGGATTCAACCCTCTGTAGACTGAAATATAGATTTCGGTCTATATCTTACTGCATACAATAAAACTCCCTAAATAAGTAGATTGATTGGTGGTTTTCAGAATATGGTAACAGATACATTAAAACTATACATGTATTAGGATAGATATGCTAAAGTAGCTTCATTGAATATGGGGCTGCAGATGCTAGAGTAGCTTCATTAAGTACAGAATTAAGCTACTGTCGCTGGCATGTTACAACACTAGTACAAACTAGTTTGTTTTAATATATTGTTTTATAACTGAAATAGGTGCAACTGATTAATGATTGAATTGGGAAGGTCATTCAGCTGTAGCAACTTCCTGCTGAACTGGTGCAACTGTTTTAAAGAACATACAGTTACAAGTCAGCAAGCTATTTCTTCAGGGCTTTTTGCTTTCCATGCACTTTCTGACTGGCAAGTCACATTTAAGAAAGGTCACTATTCCACTTAGTTTCTGACTATCTCCAAAGCATTTGGGTTTAAAGAATGTGATAAACTCAATTCATTTTCAACTCAATTCATTTTCAACAGAAGAGACTCACTGAAATCAGTTCTCTTGGCAGTATTTTCCTTGTTGGGAGTCTGATAGATTTTGATTATGGCTGAAGTGAATCAAGCTGTTAACCATTTGTAAGAGGAGGTTAAGTGTAGGGAAGAAGTGCACTGTGTGCTGTATGGCATTCATGTCCCTTAACTTGATAAATACCTAGGGGAGTGATGGGCCTTATTTCATAATCCAGATTAGAAAAATAAAGGGATAATCTGCAGGAAACAGGCAACATGGAGCAGAATTCAGAATATACTTATTTTGTCTAAATGCAGTGATTTCCAAAGTAAGAAATTCATTCCTTCCAACTGAGATTATTTTGTTTTAGAAGTAAGCCTTTTCTTACAATAGTTCTGTCAACTTGAGGTGAGGGAGAAGCAAGAGTGTTGGAGCATCTATTAAATACTAAAACCAAACAGAGGAAACTGTAGCAACGGACTGCATTTATTTATTTATTTAAAAATTGAAAATTGTTGCTGGTTTACAGAAAAATATACACAGCGTTACTTATTTATTTTATTTATTTATTCTATTTATATCCCGCCTATCTGGTCATTGTGACCACTCTAGGCGGCATGAAAGTGATGGCAATTTTTAAAGAAAGTAATTAAACACTAACTTTGTTAGGTTGAATGGGAAATTAATTATATAGTTGAAAGTATATTTGTTTTCCTACAGTCCCAAGTTGAGACAAAGAGAAATGCTGTACAGTGGTGCCTTGCTTAACGAGCGCACCGCTTAACGACAAATCCGCATAGCAACGCCTTTTTGCGATCACTAATGTGATCGCATTGCGATGTTTTAGGTGGCAAAACATCGCATTGCGATGATCGGTAAGCATTTCGCTTACCGATCTTCGCATTGCGATGTTAGGGAAACAGCTGATCGGCGGTTCCAAAATGGCCGCCGGGTGCAGAAAATGGCCACCCACAGCATTTTTGCGGCCTGCCCTCGCTTACCGAGGCAGCGAATATGGTAGTCGGATGGGGAATCTTCGCTTACCGGTGAGTTTTGGCCCCATAGGGGTTTTACGTTCCGTTTAGCGATGTTTCCGGATAGCTACATTAATCCTGGAACGGATTAACGTCGCTATGCGGGGCACCACTATACTGGATTTGCTGCAAATATTTATTTATGTAAAATATTTTTATCTCACCTTTCTCCTTTAAAAGGACCCATGAAAATATCACATATATGAGCAAGATCTATATCATTCATATATACCCAATGTATAGTGATCATGAATTAAGTTTGATCTTGTCAGAAGGCCATCTGAACGAGACCTGTCATGAAGGTGCTTCGTTTTGGATGGATTTTTGAGAAGCCAGAAAAGTTAAGTAAGAAGAAAAAATTAGTAAGACTGCCATGACAGCAGCAGAAATAGGGCTTATTTAAGCTACCCACTTTTGCATATTCAAAATGTTGAGGGGGTGGAGGATTCTCACCAGTCTGCAGGTACAAAGAGGGCTGTAGAAGAACGGAAAAGTGAACCAACCTAGTGCAGTGCAATAGAGTATTAATCGTATTTTTTTACCATGCCATGCTAAAAATGTAAAAGATCACTCACCTGAAACTCTTTCATGCTCCACAAGATTTGTATAAAGATTGAATATCTGTTCCTGGACTTTGCAAACAGATCTTTTTATTTTTTCCCTTCGAGTCACCATGTATGTGAGGTTTCGTACCTAAACAATGCAAAATGTGCACTATGACTGATGCTGGAAAATGACATATAATTTTCAAGGTGGCTTGAAGAAAATGCTAAAGTTTACAAACATTGCAAAAAAAAAATATCAAAAAATTTGATTTTTTTTAAAAAAGGAAAATGAAAACTTGCAATTCTTAAACCAAAAAAGTACATGATATTTGAGCAACAAAAAATCTTAAGATTCAGGACAAGGGTCCTGAGTAGAGATGGGCATGAATTGCTTTGTGTCAGGTCGTCTCAGGTCATCAGTGCAGCACCCCAGGTGCTGTGTGTTCCCTTCTCCCACCCAACCTGGGCAGGGTCCCCCACTCAACAACCAGCATGCACTGCTTTTTCTCCTGCTCTTCTTATGACTGTGCAGTTGCAAGTAGCATCTGCTTCCCTCTTCTGGGATCCTCCAAAAGTCTGCACTACTGGAACCCCTGCCCCACATCTCAGTCTGAGTGGGCAGAAGCCAGAGGAGGCAGAAGAGGTAAGCAGACACTCCTGCTGCAACTGGACAGTTGCAAAAAGAGCAGGTGCAAGCTGGCTGGTGAGTGGGGGATGCACCTAGGGTGGGTGGGAGAAGGGAACATGCTAATGACTTGAGACAACATTGCATGAAGCAATTCGTGCCCATCTCTAATTCTGAGAATTTACTGCTTTGAGACTGAAAGATACATAATCCCTAACCCAGTCCCACAGATATCTGTCTGAACAAACAAAGCAGCTTACTCTCTCCAAATCCTGTCGGAGGTGAGTGAAAAGCTGTAGTCGCCTGAACAGAACATCCTGCTCCCGTTTGGCTAGATTGTCTTCTTCATCTTTCTTTGGGGTTATCAAAGGTTTGTTGAAGTTAGATTTCCTCTTCAGCTTCCAGTACTGGTACAGGAATTCTACAGAGTCTTCGGGAAGCTGCAGGGATTTAGCGACTTCTGAAGCATTGACAAAGGCATAGAACTCATCCTCCAGTTGCTGAAGTTTCTGCTTACGAACACTGACTCTGTGGGCCTCCTCCTGGTTTTGATCCATGCTGACAAAGGACTCTATGTGACCAGGAGGAGAACTGTCCTGTGCACCGTTCTCATTCTCCTGGCTGGTAAATTCATTGAGGTTTTCTTCATCTGGTTTCTTGGTGGAACTGTGCTTTGGGCAGTAGGACTTGAATTTGACTTCATCATTGTCTGCCAGAATAGTCTTCATCTCCAAGCCACGATCAAATGCACAAGTGACATGGAAAGCTGTGCGGCAGTTTTTCACTGAACACTGTAAGTGGAGAAGGGTTTAAAAATAATGTTACAAATCTTAAACAGTAACAGTACAGCTTGTGAAAGAAGCAACACGAGATCCAGTGAGATTTTATTTTTCTATGCAACTACTAATTAGGAGCTCTCTCAAGTACAAAATGAGACAAAAATATATTTAAAGTGATTTGTATCTGAAGAATTGTTAGTGGATTTCTGGAGACATGGCAGAAATTTCTGGCCTCCTCCTCACTGCAATTCCTTGCACATTGCCAGGTGTTTCCAACTGTCCAGAGATTTCTACCCTTTTGCTTAGAGGTAGAGCATAAGATCAAGGATTATTTTAGCCAATCCTAGTTACAATTAGGTAACTAGTATCCTATCTGTTTCTCTCATAACATATTACTCCGTTTCCCTGAAAATAAGACCTAACCTGAAAATAAGCCCTAGTATGATTTTTCAGGATGCTAGTAATATAAACCTTATCCCAAAAATAAGCCCTAGTTAGGTGAAACCCCACCCTCCACCACTGTGCAGCAACCAGAAGATGACATGACTATAAAATAAAACATCCCCTGAAAATAAGCCCTAATGCGTTTTTTGGAGCAAAAATTAATATAAGACCCTGTTTTATTTTCAGAGAAACACGGTATGTGATTATGCTAAGTCAATAAAAGAGCCCTCAGGGCATTGCCAGTTGGCTCCGCTGGCTCTAACTTTTGCTGTCAACTCCTTTGTTCTCTCTCTAAGGCAATTAAGCCTTCCTTTGTTCTGTGTTCACCTACAAATGTGTTATAACATTAACTAAGAGAAAAAAAATCCTTTATATGGTCTGTGCTCATCTTCCTTAAAGCTTTTCTCCTCTTAATTCCAACAAGAGTAGGTGCTAAGAGTGAATAAATGGCACTGACATCTGTGGTGACAGGTATGTATCACTCTAACCTAGATGTAGGAGAGACAGATGTGCTACAGAAGGATATTAAACAGCCCTTTTGTAAAAGGAACCAATTATCCTTGGAGTTTCCCCTGCTCAGGTTGACTCAGCAGCTAAATGTCATACAGATACATGATGCTCTTCAAACTGTTTCAATAAATAAACACAACAGCATAATATGAAAAATAGTGAGAGGGACAGTGCCCTCTTTCCTTCCCCAATGACATCAATGTATATACTGCACACTTTATTTGAAAAGGGGGCTGGCTCCCTTATACTTTAGGTTCTGTAAGAATACACTCTGCTACATCACTGGTTAAGAGAACTTTGGCAGGAAAGAAATGAGGTCAATCTGACTGAGGTGGGGGATGATGGAATTTTATCTATAAGGCCCCCTGCCATTTTCTGAAATCTATTACAAATGTAGAAGAAAACATTACAAAGGGCTGGCCCTATCATTAGAAAGTGACTCACTTCAGGTGGCAGAAGCTAAGGAAGAAGCAACTTCCTACAGGAGAAATTCATATGCCACAAAGCCTATCTTGTATCATCCTTTTGCAAGCTAGCTGCAGCCTTCGGTACCACAAAGAATGCTTTCCCGTCACTGGAGAAATATCCAACTGACAGTGCATTTTATTTTCATTCATGGGATGAGAGGGAGAGAGACCATCTTATTGTTCACTTTAATCAGCAAAATATCTTGGACCAACCCTGGATTTCTTTATTATATTATTTCTTTATTATAGCCATAGCTATAATAAAGCAGTTGTTTGAAACACTCCCATTTCTCAATCTATAATACTAATGCAAACATATATTCTATGTACAGTCTTTAGCACCATATGCACATATTTCATCTATTCTGTTCAAGCACATGCAGAATAAAACAACATGACACTTTGTTCTTTAGCAAAGAAGGGTCCATTATCCCTAGCGGTGACGTCTGTCAGTTTTATAGAACTTTTTAAAAGAAAATGTTTTAGTTCTGCCTCCTTTGACTAATACAAAATGCTGTTTTCGTAGTAGCAGTAAAAGTCTCTCTGCCCTTGACTGCTGCCACTGAATCTAAAGCACAGATGATCGTGATAGTCAATTTTGTTGTTAGTCTTCTTTCAAGCATCAACACTCCACATGACACCACTGCAGCACAGAAGTGGTAGACGTGATTATTTCTAGGGCTGACAGTACTTTAAAGGCTATACCATCAGGCAACTGACAAGCTTCTAAGAGATGAACTGAAAACAATTATTTTTACATATAATTTCTACATTTCAAAGCCACTGTGGCGGCATCTTTCTGTGTTCCTGAAGGCAGTTTCTCTTTAAGCATGAAAGCGGTTTCTGTTGCTTAACTATGAGAAAAGTGTTATCCTGTACATCACGTGTGGTGCCAGTGAAATTAAACAAGCACAACTAAATGGTCTAAATGGGTGACTCCTAAAGTGTCGCAAGGCTTGTGTGTCACTTGCCATCAGCCTTACCAAATAATCAGGAGGAAAAACGATAATATGTGAAGAGCCTCGTGGCACAGTGGTTAAACCGCTGTACTGCAGCCAAAACTGTGCTCACGACCTGGGATTCAGTCCTAGGTAGCCAGCTCAAGGTTGACTCAGCCTTCTATCCTTTTGAGGTCAGTAAAATGAGTACCCAGCTTGCTGGGGGGGGATGTGTAGCCTACAAAATTCACTTGTAAACAGCCCAGAGAGTGCTTGAAGCACTATGGGGCGGTATATACGCAGCACGCTTTATATATTGATGATTGAGATGAAGAGATTAAATAAATATCACAGCAATTCCCACTGCTCAGCCTTTTTTTTTTTACAAAAAAGCTATTCTTTGTCTGGGGTCCCTGAGCTCCAGAAATTTACTAACTGGGTCCAAAAAATGACTACCCCCTTTTGGTTTCTTCCCTGTTAATTTGAAATTGTATGCAAAATGTTGTCATTTATATGCATTTTTCTGTGGAAGGATTCTGTGGCTTTCCTCAGATATTTTTTAAAAGTCTCAGTGGAACAAAGATCTCTCACCTTAAACATGCAGCTATGTAACTTCCATATATTCTATAACACTTTTTAATGGTAGAAAGACTCAATGAAATCTTAGTTTGAGAGACTAAAAACGGCAACATGACAGACTACATATCTGAAGAATTACTGTAACCACTTGCTCATGTACTGGTATACCAAAATAGGCCCAAGGGAACACACATGTTTGAAAATATAACGTCTAATATAGTCTGCACAATTTATAGTGTGTGGAATGGCAAACATCTGAGCAGTTTTGCAGGGTGCCTACTGTGCAGCGGGTTGTGCAACTGGTTTAGCAAACTGTGTAACAAGCACCCTGGTAAAAAATGAACCTGCAGGACTGATATTTCCCAGATACTCCCACATATAAATTCTCCCCCCCCCAAAAAAAACCACACAAAAAACAAACAAAAGAACTGGCCAAAATGTCATGCCTCCTCTACACAATCTGACCTCTTTCCTAGAGGACAAAATAGCATAGGCAAATACAGCCAACAATAACAACAATGTTCTTCTCCAAAGTGGCAGCTTTTGTGCATTCACCTTCAAATGGTGAACTCTACAGCAGTGGTCTCCAACCTTGGGCCTCCAGATGTTGTTGGCCTACAACTCCCAGAAGCCTTCACCAACACCTCTGCTGGACAGGATTTCTGGGAGCTGAAGTCCAAAAACATCTGGAGGCCCAAGGTTGGGGACCACTGCTCTACAGCACTTTCAGAAAGAACAGGAAACATCCAGGATGATACCCCTGCACAACTGCTTTAAGTATTCACCACAAGAATGGCAATGTAGGTGAAATTCTCCCCCATTCCTCAAGGAAAACGCAAGAAAAAAACTGAAGGTATATAAAGACTTTTAGTATTTATTTATTAATGCACCAGGCACCAATTACCACTTCAACGATCCATATTCTGTGCTTTGTTTCACACCTCCTTTGAAAATGGGAGTAATAAACAGAGCCTCTGGCGAGGTGCAGAAAAAGCTGTGCGGATTCACTACTGAATTTCTGGTGCATCAATGATTCAGAGCAAAGATAGGAACAAGGAAAGGAGCAGCATGATCTAAACTCCTAGCAACTGTAACACATGCCCTTTTCCTCTAGTCAAGTTCAGTCTTCCGGGTAGCCATGGGCACATTTCCAGAACGCCTTCCCCTAGATAAGAAAGTGGAAACATTGCTCACATTTCCAGAACGCCTTCCCCTAGATAAGTGGAAACATTGCTTTCTTGTAAGTCTGCATTCTTCTCCAAACAAGCAATGACTTCCTTTAGAGTTAAAAAGAAGAAGAACAAAACATAACCAGGTTAGCCCACTGTTCAGGTAGCAGTTCTTTCTTTCATGTATATGCATGAAATATTAATTAGGATTCTAAAATCCAAGCACTGCAAAGTGATTCCTCTGCATTAATAAATATTTTATGCATAAACATGAAAGAGCTGCTAACTAAAGGGTAAAACTAACATGAACTGTCTTCTCTCTCTCTCTCTCTCTCTCACACACACACACACACACACACACACACAGAGAGAGAGAGAGAGAGAGAGAGAGAGAGAGAGAGAGAGAGAGAGAGAGAGAGAGCACCTCTATCACATGAAGATATTAATCATCCATTCCCTAGGAAACCAGGAGGCCTGATTAGAAGATGAAAAAAGAGTGGTAAGTGATCACAAAGTTTCACTATTATATCAATGCACAGAAAATCCTTCTTCACAATGGTTGTCACATTAATTTTCTGAGGAGAGGAGAAGTAAAAAAGCAGTCTGTAGGCTGCATGGATCTCTCTCTCTCTCTCTCTCTCTCTCTCCACACACACACACACACACACGGTTCCTGCTACCACTAAGCTCCCAGCAGTTGTGTTAGAAAACACAGTTCATGGGGAGCACATGAACTGCACACTTTGTTTTCATGAAGAATGACATTCCCAAGAGATTGTAGGAGCACTATTCTGCTGTGTCATGTTTTCAAGCATAATATACAATGTTATGGTGTCAGTAACTTCAGAATTGGTGAGCTACTGACAGTGTAAGAATATGTTGGATGGGAGGGGCTGTTTTAAAAGGAGAGCAATACGTTCTCTTCTGTTTTAAGAGTATATCCTCACTGGCAGCCTCTGAAGTAGCTGTTTCAATGATCCACATTTTGTCTGAAAACTCCAAATCTAAGCTGTAAATATTCATAAACAAAAGAATACAAAACTTTGGTTGGAATTCAGTTGGCAAAACTTATGCTGTGTCAATTGGATTATATCATCATCTGGCAACAAGGACATTTAATTGAAATTAACTGTAAACTTTCTATCCCCCTCTTGTGATGGAAGGTTAGAGTATAATATTAAATAAACATGAAATACACAATCATACCTCAGCACCCCTACAAACACCAGTAACTGGTACAATGTCCTTATAAGTAAGACATACAGTGGTGTCCCGCTTGATGATTACCTTGTTAGATGAGGAAATCACTTCACGATGAGTATTTTGCGATCGCTATAGCGATCGCAAAACGATGTTTTAATAGGAAAAAAATCACTTGACGATGATTGGTTCCCTGCTTCGGGAACCGATTTTTTGCTTTACGACAATCAAAACAGCTGATCGTCAGGTTTCAAAGTGGCTCCCTGCTGTGTTTAGGAAGGCTTTTTCGCTGTACAAGCACCGGAAAATGGCCACCCTATGGAGGATCTTCACTGGACGCCGAGGTATTTTGCCCACTGGAACGCATTGAACCGGTATTCAATGCATTTCAATGGGTTTTTTACTTTTGCTTGACGACAATTTCGTTCTACAGCGATTTTGCTGGAACAGATTATCCTCATCAAGCAAGACACCACTGTAATCAAGTAGACAGGATGGTACTAACCAGAAATCTCCACCCACTTCTGGTCCTTTCTCACCAATCATCTGTAACCCCCCACCCACCCCAAATCAAAAAGAAAGCCACTGTAGAGTTGAAATAACAAAAGCTGCACTCCTGGATACAGTGTCACCTTCCATTTCTTTACACAAGGAACCCAGAAAAGAGACAACATGGGACAATCAAAGGTACTTCTCCATAAAAAGAGAAAGAAGGACATGAAAAACTTTTCTTCAGCCTTTACAAGCAAAACAATTTCAAAGACCATTACAGATTTCAGAAAACCATGTGGAAACCTACATTATTAGGATGACATGTATTGTTGTTATCTGCTATGAAGTCAGTCCTCTCCAACCTTTGATGACCCTATGAATGAGTGACCTCCAAACTGTCTTAGTACTAACAGCCCTCATCAACTCTTGCAAACGCAAGGTCAATCTCATATTTAACATAGCAGACAGCAACCACATAAACTAACAGTTCCTTCTTTGAGCAAAAGTTATAGTATACAGCCCTGAAACCAAAAACAGACCACCCTCTTTAAATTCAAAGCCTCCTTGAGATTAAAATCTTAAACTAAATTACATTTAAACACTCTATAATGTATTTCATGAAAACTTACCTCTTCAGAGAGGCTTTTGGGGAATTAACAGGCAATTGAGACAGGGTGGTTTTAGTCTGTTTTACAGTTTTTAAGTAATATTTTCAAATATTTGTAAGTTATGGTTTTAATTTTAATTGACACATTTTTTATTAATTGGTTGCCCACTAGGAGAGAATGGCAGTATTAAAATAAAACAAAAGCAAAAGCAAAACTGTGTTTCTGAACAAACAGAACTTGCAAGATATTCACAATGTTCATGCCATTCACCTGTATTGATGCCCCAAACTTCTCATTGCAAAGACTGCACACCAGGGCCCATCTGCTGCTGGGAATATGGGAGACCTTTGTGATAGGTTCCATCTTTTCTGGGCTGCCAATGCTCACCTACAGATGGGCGGATAAATATGCACGAAACAAAAAGAGAATCAGTGAAGAAAAGAAGGGCAGAACAACCACTGTAGGTTTGTTTCACTCCAGACAAAAATCCCAAGCTACCTGTCTTAGTGCCCAATAATTATGTTAAATGTATCCTGCAACAAAGCTATCTGAAGGAGAAGTAATCATGACTTTCATTTTTATCCAACTCTTTCTCCACAGAGCTAAGCTAATAATTCATCTGGCTCAGTTCTCTTGACGTCCTGACCCCCATGTTCACCAGTCACCATGACTGTCAATGTGCACTATAAAGCTTTATTTAGTAGAGACCAAGTCTTAGACAAATTACTTATGGGCAACGTACTCGTAGACTCTCCCAAACAGCATGGCAAGCAATTCAGTCAAATGTGTGGAGCTAGAAGGGGAAATATGCAAAAATATGCAACATCCTCCACTCTGAAAATATGCCAACAAACTGGTTGCTCCAAAGACCTACCTCTGGAATCCAAAGGGCACAGCTAACGTGAACCCACTTAGTCCCACTCCGTGTTGGCTTCATGGCTCCACTTTTCTTAGGACACAACAAACACTTGGGTTGGACACCAAGAGCACAGGTTCGGCATAGCCAGCTGCCTTCGGGAACTTTTAGGATGCCGTAGCATGCCTACGTGCCCAAACAACACAGAAGGGAAAACACATGGAAATAAAAAAAAAGGCATAGAGTAAAAACATTAACAGATAATCATAAACAGTGGCACTTAATACTTCTGTAGCACTTTTTGTGCACAGAATGTTATTACAATAATCCTCCAATTCATTCTCACTACAAATGCATAAAGTAGGTCATATCAGAAACAGGCATGTGAAGCTGAGACAAACTAAAGCAAATCCAAACTGGGAACACAAGGACCAGGAAGGATATGGATTTTAATTAAATCTATTGTTTCCTTATTTTGTGGCCATATGTTTGCATTAATTTAAATGATTTACATAACCCGTGAACCTCGGCCACACACAGCTCTCGGTTGCTTCATGTACAGCTTTCAAAGCCAGCAGGACTCTACCCATTTTTCTGCGCAATCCAGCTGGTACGCAGAGCTACAAGGGGATAAATGTGATTCTTTGGCATTCCAGAGCATACCAGCATATAAGCAGAAGAAGTAAACTGCTGAAGGAAGGGGGCTTCCTGGAGGCATATGAGGGGAAACGTGTGTGCATATGTACTGAGATGTGGGAATGCATATATGTGCAGTTGTACATACAAAGCAGCCTTGCCCCCACACATGACACTAGATGCAGCCTTTAGAATCAAAACAACTGCAAGTTGAATGCATGATTATCACTGTGATGGTTTTTGAGTGGTCAAAACTCCAAACAGCTGTGGTGTCTGAGGAACGGCCTTCCCAAACTGATCTGCTAGGTCGTGTAGAATGCACCACCAATGTATGAGCCGTCATGAGATCTGGCAGGACCATGTGAAAAGTCAGAAGCAGACACAGCCACACTCCACAGAATCCCAACCACACAAAATATATTTTTATCAGTCATGGCCACTGCATCAATCCCCTAGATAAGCATGAAGCCTAACACTGAGCTATGTAGGAAGTTCGAACAGGAAGTAGAGAGAGCTATCTCAACCAGCTGTGACAGTAAAGGGAAAGTAAGTTCTTGCCTTGGCTAATCATTATCTCAAGTGGATTTAAGCCAGGACTATGAAACTAAAATAAGAACATGACATATTTATCTCTACATCCACCTGAAAGATGAGAAGGTGAAACAAGAAAGTGAGGGAGCGGTTGTGTTCCAAAAGGCACAAATGTTACTGCTCTGGCCCCTGGTTCAGCCTTTTCTCCTAGGAAAGGGAAATTAGAACTATGGCATTATTGTTGCCTTTTGTTGCAAAGGTGGCAATGGCACAGAAGCCCTGACTCAAGCTGCTGTGAGTTTTCTGACCATTTGAAGTGTGTGCCATTCAATGTAATCACAATACAGTAACAACTGACAGTTTATCAAGAACATTTGGAAATGAATAAAATGAAATAAACTAACACTCTAAAGCTATTCAACAGAATGAACAATGTTTATATAGAGCTCTACAGCCCTTTATCCGCTGGAAGTGTAAACACATTTCCTCTATAGCAACCAAGAGGAAAAAAAATACTCTCTCCTTCCTTATCAGACATTATTGACAAAAGAGAGAATAAGGAGAATAAGGAAAAGCTCATGGTAGACTTTGGAAACAGCCAAATGCTGATGTGTTTAAAATAGCCATCTAAATACTATTCTGCCCCCCCAAAAAAAATTTTGTTATATTCCTATTACGTATGATTCAGTGTCATTATGCTTTGAACATTCCCAATAATTCAAGTTATGAACAAAGGTCAGAAACCTGTTTGGAATCACAGAACATAAAACTTCACATAGTTTTTCATAGCATCTCTGGCTTGCAATACATGAATCAGTGAGCCAAAGATTGCCCCATTGTGCTCACCTGAAAAGAGATCAGCATCACGGCCTCAGACAGGTTGAGCTCTGGCCTAGTGCCCATTAAGGAAGTTGCCAGAGTACTCTATAAGTCCCTGAAAACACTAAGGCAATTTCATTCCAACAGGCAACTATCCCAGGTCAAGAGGCCTTCCAGCCTGCTCTCTCTCCAGGTGAGCAATTTAGGTATGGGTCTGGCAGGTGGAAGAAGTGTTGGGATGGCCAAGCTATTTCAGATAATGAGAACTATAGTGTACACTGGAGGGCAGTATGGAATGCTGGCCTATACTATACACCAAGGAGGAATGTTTCGCCAAAAGTTAAATACATGTATACCAAGGAGGTTTCTGTTTGTGGATCTCCCTTCCAGAGATAATGCATAAATGTCATGTTGTGTGGGTGGGTGGTAAAAACTGCCAGTGCACGACAAGAGTAGGATCAGGACCATTATCTCATTGAGGATAAGCATATAAGGAAAAAGATATCCAAACTGGCTGATATCCACAAACAGGAATGAGCAGAACTCCAATAGACAGCAGTGGAACAAAAAACAAGCACTGAAATGTTCATATATGCACAGAGACCAAGTTAGGTAGAAGAAACAAAAGCTAAGATTTTAGAATTAAGAATGCAAGTAAAATGGTGCAACCTAACCATCCAGAAACCTGTTTACATGTTCCCAGTCATTACTACTTCACCATCAGCAAACAACAAACATATGAACTAGAAGTCTGTATAACTGTACGCTCAAGCTCAACAGTTATATAGACATAAAGCAGAAAGGTTCTAGTCCTTGAATTTATTAAAATGAAACAAAACCTAAAGGCATCTGTTGTTTTACAAAGACTATTCAGAAATGTGGGAATCAGCAGAAGCCTCCAATATTCACAAATCACTGGCTCAAATTATCCAACCGATTTCTGTCCTATCTCTTCCCTCTTAATCCCTACTTTTCAATCTAAGCATATACAATGGGCCCTCAATTTATGAACGGCCCTAGTTGCGAACGTTTCGGGTTACGAACCCGATCTCATAGGAAACTAGTTGCGAACGCGGAATCGAGTTACGAACCGGAAAAAAAAACAATTCTGCCTCTAGTGGTAGGAACAGATTAAGCATTAGTTCCTATGGGAACTAATGAATTGACTTGAAAACCGCCCCTCGACTTAAGAACCAAAAACAGCCGGAACAGGTTAAATGGTTTTCAATGCATTCCTATGGGAAAACTGGTTTCGACTTATGAACTTTTCGGGTTACGAACGGACTTCCAGAACGTAGGTCGAGGGCCCACTGTATATCCATCCTCAAAAACATTGGAATTGTATTTTAAAAAACAACACCCTCCTCCTTGCCATGGCAAAATCTATACAAATCAGAATCAAAATTTATTCTTATGGTACCTGATGAACGCAAATGTTGCATTTGTCACAAAACACCATCTCATTGCCGTCTTCACCATCTGGAGACTGGCAAACATCACAGACCACATCCTCATCATACTCAATTCCAAGCCCCTCCTCAGTCTCAATGGCATGGTTCATGTTGTCGTAGCATCGCTGTTCAAATTCTTCCATGATTCTCTCCATAGTGTATTCATCCAGCTCAGGCATTCCTGAGAAATCAACCCAATAGCAATTGTTTTTAAAACAACAGGCACCTAGAGGCCCAACCTCTTGCACTGATTTACAAAAGCAATAGCAAAAGTGAACCCATATGACACTGTGGCCCCCAAGGTGGCCCTTTAGCACTCTCACTCCCTCTAGCACTCTCAAACACAAAAGAAAATGGCTTTTTAAAAATCAGAAATTTTTCCCTCCCACAACACAGAAGATTCTGGGACAACAATGTGCCATTTGAATGTAACTTCATTTCACCCCATTTTGCCTGTTTTAAGTCAGATGAACCAGAAGTGAGGCGGGGTGTCATTGGTGCAATGCAGTCCTTAAAAGTTTAAGGGAGGGCAAAAATTGTCCCCAAGCCCTCAGAAGTTGTCCACCACTAACAAACTGTATGTCTATGCTGAATTAATGAATGAGTGAGCTGCGTGCATTTTTAAACTATATTGAAAAATGTTGATCAACCTGCACTAGTTGCCAATCACACAAAACACAGAATGCAGATAATTACATCATGTTTTTGTTTTTATGCACATATTAATCAAACATACATGCTAGACAAAAAACCAAATTTCAAAAACATCACAGTGTCCTTTACAAAGCAAATTATATTATTCCTCACACATAAGCTTTGGAGAGCAAAATATTATTCATCTTGTACCACTCAATGTAGTATCTAGAAATAAAAAGCCAACTGCTCCTGGGGTGGTTTTGAGAAGTGATACCCACATTAGAAACAATTTTTAAGATGCCTTTCCTAGATTAGGGAAAATGATACCCACAAAATCTTACTGGACCTAAATTTTAAGAGATTCCACTGTTCTGCACTTGGTGGGTTTTTTGGTTTTTGAAATCTTGGCCATTTCACAGCTGACCCATAAGGATCCTTAGTTGCTCAACAAATACTTTTAAAATGACTTCTGGTGCTTTTAGAATGGGTATTTGGATTTAACAAGGAATTGCTGCATCAGAATAAGTCACTTCAATTACAAGAAAACTGGTTGAAATAATCAGCAGATGTCCAATGCTAGTCCAAATCCTGCTTAGTATAGTAAAATCACATTAAAGTAAGGCTGTTGAATCAATGGGGATTTAGTGAGTCAAATCCTCTGTATATTTCATTGATTTAAATGGGCCTACTCAAACCGTGACTTACTTTAGCACAGTTAAGTCGCAGTTAGAGTATGCCCATTTAAATCAATGGAACATACAGAAGAGTTGACTCACTAAATCACCACTTCAATGGACCTCCTTTGATGTGATTTCCTATACTAAGCAACAGGAATTTGACCAGTGTGTTGCCATCAGTTAGCAAGGCCAACCTTCTACATGAGGCTGCTTTGAAGGGAGGCACAATTTGTACAGAACAGGGCCCCTGAAATATTGACTCATACAGCCAGATGTTTACGTATTATGCCAAACTGTAGAAGAGCTGCACTGGCAACCTGGCCATTTCCAGGCTCAATTCAAAGTACACTTCGAAGCTCTAAACAACTTGAAAGTCAAATACCTTTGCATATCTCCAAATGTCTCTATGAAAGATACGCTGATTGACACCAAAGGAGACGAATGTCTGTATTAGGAGAATGTGCTTCCAAAACACGTCTACCTAGGCCCTGCCCTACAATCTTTTTGCTGCCAGCTGTTTGAGGCTGTCATTAACTTTATTTTATCTTAATGTGTGGTTTTTTTTTTTTTGTCTGATGTTTTTTAGTCAATTCTGCACTCTGAAATACTGGCTTAAGATGAACTAAAATATGAACTAAAATGTGAATTTCGCAAAAATGAGTCGAACGTTTTCTATCAATTCTAGGAAAATCCAAAGCATTTGTAAACTGCTATCTTTCGACAACTTTAAGAAGTTCAAAACATCATTAACTATTCTATTAATGTTAAGTACAGCTCAGCTGGAATGAGTTTCTTCCATGTTTTTCCCTTTCCTCCATCCTTCAAACAAGTCCTAGGAATCCTAGTTTTGGGAAATGCCTGTCATCTTACCACCCATCAACCTTTTTCTGCAGATCCCCACATCCTCCCTTCCATTCATACACTAAAAGATATATATATAAAACATGTTTGCGAGCATGTATTTTATACACACCCATACACATACACAGAGAGAGAGAGACAGAGAGAGAGATTCTCCACTCACCCATTTCTTTAAATTCTTCATTGGCTAGTTCCAACCACGCCACATCCATGTAATTAAGGTCATAGCGACAGACACTCTCCGCCAGTGTTCGGATGTCAACATATCCAAGCTCAGGGGGCTCAGATCCTGAGGAAAGGATGTACTTCCGAGGCCTAGTAAACATGACGGCTTTTGTTTCAGACACAACCCTGGAAGTGCAGCAAACAGGAGGTGTTAATTTCATTGTTTCAATCCTGCTGAAGGTGGGAAAACTTCAGTCTTTCTGTGTAATTACTGCCAGAGGCTTCTACAAAGGATGGGGAGGGGGGGTTGAGGAAAATCTGAGCTCTTGTAGCTCTGTATGGAGGTGTGGTAGCAGTAATAAAAACATATTTAACTTTACCTTTATTGAAAAGATTCAAACTCTGCCTTTCCACTTAAAATATCTTCAAGGCAGGTTGTGACACATTTCAAGTGATATCAACATCACAGTATTATGCAGAAAATGGGAATGAGGAGGGAGGAATCTATACTTCGAGAAGTGTTAATTTCACTATCATGTTGCATAAACTAACAATGAACCCTGCACAAATTGCAAAGCAAAAATATACTGAAAATGAAGCAAAGAAAAAAAAAAGGAAATAATATTTCACTTTAGATACAGAACAATCACTTTACAATACACAGTTTCAGCAAATGAATAAGATTACTCCGAATTCAAGTGCTTTCAATGTCATTTGATGATGCCTGAATAGATCCATGAAGACCCATTTGACAATCAATACAGCGAGTCCTTCTATTGTTCTAGAAACTGTAAGGATGGCATCTTACTGAGACATACAAACTGAAATTCTTAATCTTCTGCTCTCCATAATGATGTGGTACAGAATGACAAAAAGGTATTAAAGGGCACCTATAAAATTTTAAGAGCATTGCTCAGCTCCAACACAGCTAAAGAGCCTAGTGCAGCAGTCCCCAACCTTTTTGGAACCACGGACCGGGGAGGGCACCTCTGTGTGCGGGTGGGCAGGGGCACCCCCGTGCTTGCAGGTGGGCGTGCCACGCTTGCGGGTGGGCCTGCCATGCTTGCGGGGGGTGCGCCACACTTGTGGGGGGTGTGCCCCGCTTGTGGGGGGCTTGTCACAAGCATGGCACACCCACCCCGCAAGCGCAGCACACACCCAAGCGCAGCACATCGAACCACGATCGCAGCACACCCACCCGCAAACACAGGGGATATCCCTGCCCACCCACCCCCACCAGTGGAGTGGTGAAGATCCGTCTCCATGGCCCCGTCCTGGGAAGCCCACAGACCGGGGTTGGGGACCCCTGGCCTAGTGCACCGAAAATTCCCATACACTCAAGGAAGTATTTTTCCCATGCCAAGAAAACTGCACAAAACGTAGGAAGAAAGCAGGATGTGAACATGAAAATTCATGTTGAGACTATCAATGTTCTCCACCAGCCTAATGCACTGAGTACATCTAGTGCTGGATGGGTTAGTGAGGAATATAGATGTGTTAAGCCTTTCATGCTCTCTCATTGTGTGGACGCTACGCCTGCTGTGGAACTGTACTGTGGCCACATTTTATCCCTTGACTTTAATGAATCTGCCACAATCCTCAAAGTTCAGCTATTTTTAAAAGGTTATATAAAACAGTTCTAAAAATAGAGAAAGCAGGAAAACTAAGTAGCTCACATCCCACTTGGTAATCTAGGAAATTTATTTCTGTAGTTACATTACTCTAAGAGAAATTGGACACCTGCAAAAAATTCTTACCTTGACTAAAAGATGTGTAAGCAGGACAGTATGAAGCATTAGAGTATAAAAAGATGAAGGTGGAACTACAGACAAGCAACTATGGTTGAAAATCAATGTTTTCTAAAGTGTTTGTAAACCACTCTCTTCCTGCCTGAATCTAAATTGAATGAGTCAGATTTATATGGCTCAGAAGACTTGGACATGACAAAAATAAACTTTAGAGTGTAGGCTATAAAGCACTTTCAAAATGAATTATGCAGCCATAGATCTGCTTTGTAACATTAGGCCACATTTCTAAGCTGGACATGAACAATGAGTTAATTTAGGCTGCAGTCACATGAAAAAATCATGGGACAATCATGCTGAGAACAAGGGTTGAAGGTTACGGACAGTGAATTTTATACATTTATCTACAACATTTAACAAAGAAACCCTATATTTCACAATGAGAAAAGCTCCCAGCAATGTCTGTTATGGAACTTTTGGGCTCCTTTATGTTTGGACTTCATATCCAGTGGTCTGTATTCAAATCTCAGTAGAAAGGAGTTATGGAGATGAACCACAGTTTACCTTTAAAATACAGATAATGCATAGCATTGGTTCCAGGTTAAATTCCAAGCATCTTACTTAAAAGAGTCAAGGAGTAGGGAAATTTTGCCTAAGACGTATGAGAACTGTGACAAGAAAGAGCAGACAGCAATGGGCTGGCTGGTTATAAGGCAGATTCCTACAGATATCTATTCTGCTATCTAAATGAATGAACAATGGAGGGGACACATTTGTGTAAAGGTACACTCAAAATGATCTAGTTCTGGTTGAATTTTATTTTTCAGAATAGGTTGCTGTGGTTGATTTTGTTGATGAATCTGGTTATTCTGTGTACAAATAACAAACACTGAGACTTCCCAAAGGCCAAGTGGAAGACAGGTATGCAACAACATAAGAGACTGTGCTTGAAAACCACAGGAAGGTTTGGAAGTTAGACATTCCACAGGCCCCCGGTGATCATTTATACTTCCCAACATTTGAGCACTTTCAGCAACAACTACCAAGATGGAGCTTTTCAGCAGAGATATAGAAATGGTCACACAATTCACACCACAACCTGACTGGAGTCACCTATTACATGTTCCATATCTAGGGTTGCAGGAGGAGGAAAAAAATAATGCAAATTCTGTGCTGAAAAGACTGAACCAACTTTCCTGTAATATTTGAATGATGCCACATGGGTCACAGGATACACTATCAACCCTTGTCTAGGAGAAGACCCTTTTCAAAGAGTGAACAGAACTCTTCCTGCTAACAGAGTTTCTATAAGGAAGCACACAGCTTTGCCATTAAAGGTGCTTAATTCATGAGTGAAACTGCTGTGGAGAAATGCTTTGGTTCAAAAAGCTGTAGCGCTTGATCTGCTGGACAAAATCAGTCAGCTGGGAAGAGCTTTATGACAAATAGTAGCCTGGAAATACTATGGATGAGTAACCCAACAGGTTGTTTCACACGACATGCTTGGGACAGCTTACTGATACAACCACAATTAACTCCTTTATTCCTTTCCTGTTTGCCAAACTGCACAGAACAACCGAAGAATTATCTCAAAGGAAGAGGGAGTGCTTGTCCCTCCTCCTCTCAGAAATTACTAGTTAGGGTAGTAGATACACATCCTAGAAGTTCCTGTCCTTGCTGATTCTAGGTCCATCAACTTAAATGCACTTCAGTAGAAAAGAAAAATGCAGACTTTGCGATGTGCTGAAGAAGTGAGGCAGATAGCTTTGCTGTTTTTCTTAACGGCTGCACCAAATTATACCTGGCTACTGGTTCTGGGATAGTCCCGGGACTGACTGGCACCTGAACACCCTTCTCCCATTCTTGTCTCCATGGATCTGCCAACACATAGTACTCATCAGGGTTCAGTTGGTAAGAATCAGGCAGCTTCATGGCAGTGATCAGGTCTGTTCTGAACACCTGTAAAGAATACAAGTAAGAAAAAACAAGGGAAAGGGATGAGACACTGACATCTGATATTTACACTCAGTGATTCACAGCTTCAGGGTAACCATGGAGCACAGTACACACCAAGGTCATTGTATCAGCACTAAACTAACACAGCTTATTAAGAGGCCAACTGGTTAACCACTTCAGCTGGCTGAAACAGAGGGGGGGGGGCGCCAACACATTACTGGGATTCAGAACCCACAGTTTTATTACTCGCCCTCCTTAATTCACATGACAATGCTGTGCAAAGTGACCAGAGGTTCTCACCAATGTAAAAGGCAGATGTTCACAGCCTCTTTTAACACCCCTGCAGAACAAAGCTATCTCAGCACTGGCTATATTACTTGCATCTTCATTTTAAGATAAGCTTAGCGCCCAGATCTGATCATATCCCTATAACCTAAATGGTATAGCACATGTTCTGCGTCTTTCAAGATACCAGGCTCAATTTCTGACTAGCAAAGATCTCTGCTTGAAAGTACCTGTCAGACCAAATCAGCATAAAGCTGCTTCTAACCATGTATGTCCACAAAGCATTGTCTGGAAATTCTGAAATTCTGATGCTGCAATAATTTCTCTAAAATATATTAAATCACATTATCAACTTTGTTGGGAGAAAGATACGTCCATTGCATGACTGGCAGCAAGCAACTGCTTTAGAAATACTCCACTAAATTCATTCTTGATGTCTAAATGACAAGATCACATTGCCTTCCTAAAATCCAACATTCCTATAAACCAGGCTTGTCCAACCTGCGGCCCGAGGGCCGCGTATAAACAATTATCCCAAGAACAGCTCCAATAAATAAAAGGCAGTAAAGCAGCAGAGCCCTGTGCCTCATAACCTAGGATCACAGGTAGATTCTCGCAGTGACTTCATCACAGAAATTTTGAATGGAGGACACATTGTTTACATTTGTGCTCATACAACAAGTTCACGGACAGGAGTAAAGTTATGGACTATAACTCCCAGAATACGAGGGGGTTCTGATAAGTATTAAGCCTTTCCCAAAACAAATTGAGCTAGGAAGCTATAAATTGCAGGGTGTATTGGCCAATTGGTCTGCATTCAATGGTGCAAAAATCAACTACCTATGATTTTAACTTATCTTTCATGTTCAGGTCCAAAGTGAACATGGTGGCGCCTCCAGAAAAGTTCAATGTCGAAGAGTATAGGACCATAATCAAGTTCCTGTTTCTCCAAGGGAAAGGTGCAAAGCAGATCCATGATGAAATGTCACAAACTATGGATGACAGTGGCCCTTCATATGCAACAGTTAACCATTGGGTTGTCAATTTTAAAACTGGCCATTTCGGTGTTGAAAGTGAGAAACACAGTGGAAGGCCTGTTTCTGTCTCTGTGCCTGCAAATGTGAAAGCCATCCATGACATGATCATGGAGGACCTCCGAATATCAGCCAAAAGTATTGCTTTATATCTGAGAATATCACATGAGAGAGTTGGTGCCATTAGCCACAACGACTTGGAAATAAGAAAGCTGGCAGCAAAGTGGATCCCCAAACTTTTGAAAACCGAACAAAAGAGAAAACGTATGGCGTCATTGGTGGCTGTTTTGGAACATTTTGCAAGAAAGGAGTCAGATTTCCTGGGCAAACTGGTAACTGGTCATGAGACATGGATCTACTGTTATGATCCTGAAACAAAAGAACAGTCTAAGGAATGGAAGCACAGTGGTTCCCCCAGGCCAAAGAAGGTCCGAGGGCAAAGGTCGGTGCAGAAGCAAATGGCAACAGTTTTTTGGGGATAAGAAGGGAGTTCTGCTGGTGGACTACCTCCAACAGGGTTCAACCATCAATGCAAAATATTACTGTGCTTTATTGACAAAGTTGAGGCAAAACATCAAGGAAAAACATTGAGGAAAGCTCTCCAAAGGTGTCATCCTGTTGCATGACAACGCCTCGGCACACACTGTAGGTGAAACGAAGGCAAAACTGACGTCCTTAGGCTTCCTAGTGATGCCCCATCCACCCCATTCTCCCGACCTGGCTCCTTCTGACTATTATCTGTTCCCCAAACTCAAAAAACACCTAAAGGGACCAATGATTTGGGAGTCTTCTGGAGGCCACTAATGCTGCATATGAGTGGTTACATCAGCAGTCGGAAGAATTTTATTTGCAGGGACTTAAAAAGCTGCAGGACAGATGTCGCAAGTGCATTGACTTCCTGGGGGAATATGTAGAATAATGTGGCAGTTACAGCTCCCTAGCTCAATTTTTTCTGGGAAAGGCTCAATATTTATCAGCACCCCCTCGTACCACAGTCCCCATGACCACCAATTATGCTGGTTATGGAATTCTAGGAGTTGGATACAAAAAAGAACTTTCCCCAACACTATGAGAGGCAAGATTAACTCTATCAAGACAAACTCTGGCTTTCAGTGTTCTTCCTGCATGAGGTCAATATTTGCTCTAACCAAAGCCTCATTCGTGAACCTTCTCTGCATGTTTATAGGCACAGCTATAGGTTCACAGGTTCTTTATTCAGACCTTCTGTAATCCCACAGATTCCAAAGGTGCAGAGCTGGAAGGAAATTTAATAAAGGAGACATGGCCAATTATCATAGCCTCCCTTCCCTATTCATGTATTATGAACATCTGGGGGCCTTTATAAACAGGCTTTAAAGAACAGCTACTTCCCACATGTGAATTCCATATGTTGAAAGTTAGGATGCTAGTAGAAAAAGCCTAATTAGCTAAGAATTTAGTTAGAGGACCCAGAAATCTAATTTACTTTAGAAAAGGGCAAAACTGAAATAGTTAAACATTCAGACATTCATTTTAAATTCTAGAAGAAAATGACATAAATTACTACAGGTGACACAATTCCTCTACTACAATTTCATTGTTTCCTCCTCCAAAAATTTGTTCTTTTTGTAGTTTAGGCTGTTTTCCCCAACATGGCAACCTGATCACTCACCTCTTCTTCCCCACCCCACTGTTAGTAGGATTGTATATTTCCAATATGTGTTATTTTTAAGAAGTGTTACTAAAAGGTACAGATGACCCCTGATCTGTAATGGCTTAACAAACTGAGTTTCATAACCATCTGAGTATCAGCTAATGACCCTCCTAATGTCCAAAACTTACTTTTACAATAATGGTGACCAGTGCTATAAACGGGTGCATTTTCACCACATAAAATGACAGCAAGATAGTTCAGGCGGGAGGTGAAAGAGGGCAACGGAAGTCAGAGGGAGCACTCAGCAAGCAAGAGAATAGAGCTGAGAAGAAGTGTACAGAAATTGAGGATCGAGGGCAACACCCAGGAAGCAAATCAGAGAAAGTGGGGCAGACAGCAGAGAATGGGGAACAGGGTCCAGCCAGCAAGCTAGAGAAAGGTGTAAAGGGGAAATGAGAAAACAGATGAGCCACTGCCAGGGAAGTGTTAAGTGTCATGGGGAAGGGGGGTGTTATAGCATTTTCTTTAATATTTTTTAACAACTGGTGTCAACTCCCAGCACCATCTGCCCCCCAAAAAACCCTGATTCCCCAAAAGCTTTTATGCTATTCATGTTTCAAACATCACAAATTGTTTACATGAGTTGAAAAGAGCTGGTAAAGAGCTACATCTTTACTCCACTGATTCAGTACTATACTGAAGTACAGCACTAAATGGCTATAAAGATCCATTAGCAAATCATGGCTGGTGGAGTTTTAATCAGAAATATTTTTGAGTCATTCTGAACTTTGAAATATGCACAGCCATTTTTTTGCACTACATAATAGCTGTATCATCTGCCTCCCCCAACCTATTAGAATTAAAAACTGAGGTTGAAAGGAGACATCCAGTGTCACAATATAGAGTGAACTGGGGGGAGGGGGGAGGAAAGATATACAGAATATTCTTAGATTCCTTGCATTAGTATGGCTCTGTTTTTAAAAGCTGAGTGGTACCTAATTAAAATCTGCTTTTAAAATTGGAGTTTTTGGATTTCTCTGCTCCTCCTACTCATCTCTGGAAAGGGGGCTCCAGGATCCTCTCTCACACATAGGTACACCTTAATCCTCTGTTTTTTCAACTCTGTTACTGGCTACTCTCACGTGGCAGCAGCAATTTCATACTTCAACCATAAAACTTACAACAAAAAAGCACCCCTCTCTGCCCTTGCTGCTGCCACAAATCAGCTCCCTTTCTCATTCGCCCATCTGTGGCTCTGGCTTTTTCTGTGCCTTCGCTATTGGTTTCAGCCACAGCAAAACACATCAGCTAAAATGATTAAAAGCTCCTGAAGTTGCAGTAAACATTAAACTGCTTAGGACTAAATTAAGTCGCCACACAAATTGCATTTGGTGCTCACAGGGTGGAACGTTACTAGATTAACATAATGTATTAAAAATAACTAGTTTATTCCAAGCTCTACTTAAAAGTCAATGTACTGTATAAGAACTTGTACATGTGAAAAGTGAGCAGAGACCCTAAGCTATTGTATTTTAATTTCACCCTGCATGGCACAGTCAATCATGCCAAGATTTGGGCTAATTTAAGCATACAAATTATGGCAGAATACAAATGTGTTCCATTCCTCTGCCTGATCTTGAGAATAAGTATCCTCAGCTCTGTGAGAGCCTAAACCAGGGGCTCCCAAACTGTGTGCCATGCCTACAGGGGCACTGTGAAACCCAGGCAGGGGCACCATGGGAAAAGGGATGGAACACAGAGCTATGAAGGCTACACAGTACAGAGGAGCTGTTCATAGCTCTATGTCTAACAGGAAGTGGAGGCTGTGTATCTGCCTCTCATTTCCCCATCTCTATGGTCCTTGGTGGATGTGCTTTGCCCAGGAGCCTCGGGAGTTTCCTATGTCAGGACCTGGACTCTTAGGGATATTTGAAGGGGGAAGAGATGGGATGGCTGGGGGAGGGGGAGTCAAGATCCTGCTCCTGGTGGGAGAGAGAGCTCTGATGGCTCCTCTGCGCAAGTGAAGCCACTGCCAGTGGGCAGAAAAGGAAGGGAGCCGTGAGGTCAAAATGTTTGGGAACCACTGGCCTAAAACACAGTGAAGCCATTGCTCCAAAGGTTACAGGGTAGAAGTAAGTCACAATTCATGGCCAGTTGATCATCAGCAAAGCAAAAATGCCACACCCCAAACTGGCCACCAGAAGACATGGTCCAGATAATGGCTTTTGTAATTTAAGCAACATATCAGTCAGGCAGTTTGTAGCCAAAAATCTTCTTGAAGCCCTATATTGATCAACACAGCACCATGTGTGACCCAGAGTAAAATAAAAAAACCCTCCTTTACGCCTACAGTTCAAACTTTGCTCTGAACATGAAGAATTTATAAAACCAGTATAACATCTTGGAAGTTGTAAGAAGTTATCAGCCACAAGAATGCAGGGAAGGGGCCACTACCCCAGCATATGTCATGACTTAGAGAGCCACACATCTGGATCCAACAACTATAATTCTGCACTTGCCTGCACTTGATTGAATCTGATTTTTCACTTCTCATCAGCAAAATGAAAAAAAAAACACCTAGTGGCAAGCATTTAAAAAGAGCAAGACTACGCATGCCTTCTCCCCACACTCTGGAGAACAAAGTATTACAAAGTAAAACAAATAATTCATGCTCAGCACTCCCATTTTCAAGCCTCTGCATTAACAGTAACTTCTGAATGTCATGTGGAACAAAAGGATATTTGCCAACAGCTTAAGAAATGGAGGTGGGGATAGAAGCTAGATAATTTTGCTACAGACAGAAAAAAATGAATCCACCCATGCAGTGTCACGAGTGTGCCACCACTCTTAAACATTTCACATGAAACCTCTTTGGTTTATGAACTACACAGCGAACATGGAACGCTACACACTCCATACACTTATAAAGCTGGAAACAAATTGTTTGGGGACAGTACAGAGGGCTGAAATTTTGTTTATCTCGCTGCAATCCTCAAACTGCTTATAGATTCATTCCAAGCAGTTTACATGCTCTAGCATAAATGCTTGGAGTATTTCTATGTTTTTCCCCAAACACTGTCAGGGTGACATACTGTACATGTATTTCAGATGTATTTCTTTATATAGCAAGACCCCTATATCAGTGGGATCAGTATCTGCAGTTTCACTTATCTGCAGTTTGCTGCAGCCCAATATGCAACATACAAGGTGCCCCTTGTGGTTTTTGCTCCGCTCCTTTGCATGTTGAATATAGCAAGGGTCCACAACCCCCAGACCGCAGGTGGTTTTTGCTCCGCTCCTTTGCATGTTGTATATAGCAAGGGTCCACAACCCCCAGTCCGCAGCCGGTGCCGGTCCGTGGCCTGGGCCAGACTGGGTCGCGGAGACAGATCTCCCCCACCCCCCACAACTCCCACACACACAGCCCCTTTGCGCATGTGCATGAGTGCGCATCCCTGCCCCGCATGCGCCCCTTCCCCTTCGAGCATGCATTTGAGTGCACCTGCATGAGCATGCCCCGCTCCTTCGCACAATCATGGGGGGTACCCCGCCTTTCCTTCACACAGACCTCATCTGCTCCCAACCTGTCTGCAGTATCAAAAAGGTTGGGGACCACTGGTATATAGGGTTCCCTCATATCTGTGGTTTCAGGCATCCACAGTAGATTGTGGAAACAATTCCTTGCTGATACAGGGATCCTACTGTATACCTATCTGTCTTACTGCAAACTATGTCATTGCCTTTCCACTTCTGCACTATCACCATAACATCCACAAACTTCCCAGATCAGATATTTTGCAAACTGTGTAGGCTTGCTAGATATGAAGTTAAACCAAGTTTAATTCACTCTAGGTCTAATACTACCCATCTATGCAAAAACACCTAAAATATAAAAATATACTTGATTTTGCTGCTTGGACTGATACTAGGATATAGACAAAGTAAAAATAGGGATAAGTTCTCACAGAGAATGCTCCCATTTCCCATCAATAACAACCAAACTCAAAAGAGGGACAGACAAGGTTACAGAGTTATTTGCCTAAAAAGGTGCATACTTTAAAGAAGTTGGAATATTAATTACTCCTGTTTCCTTAAAGAATTCTGCACCCACTCTTTTTTCCAGTGTTCCAGAGAAAGCGACCTCAGAACTCTTAAACCCCTTTCTTTACATTAGGAATAGATAAGATGTGGCTTTCCAGATGTCATTCAAGTGCAGCTTCCATCAACTGTCATCAGCAAGGCCAGTAGCAACAGCTGAAGACAACTGCAGTCCAATACTATGTGGTGGACCACAGAGTCCCCCTGACCTTCCCTAGGTAAAGATACTGATCTAACGTTTTCTTTCTCTATCCCAGTAAGACTAGAATCAAGCTAAGAAAAAGCAATAGAGAGGTTATGATTAATTAAAAAAAACATGAGCAAGCTCTTCACTACTCATACTGAAAAGCAACTGCATATCCCTGGCTAGTCTGCCTAAGGCTGAAGGAAGCCAAAGTTCCTGAACATGTGTAAAAGTACAAAAAAGGTAAACAGACATTGTATTTGGAGGGGAAGGGTGGCACTGTGAAGCTTTGTTATTTGGCAGCATCTACAAATGCTAAAAGAGATCACAGGCTTCTGAATGATATTGCTCTTATGCCAGGCACAAGCTTTTTTTATTAGTTTTAATAACTGTCTGGAGGGAAAAAACAGGGTGTGAACACTTTTAAGCTTGAACATTTGTGGTGAGTTATTTTGGCTACAAGACAAAGGAGGATTTAATGGAACATCAAGGATATAATTTCCAAGAGTCACAGCCTCCTACTGCAATCCCTGCTGCTCTGCAGACGCAATCAGCATGCCTAAAGCCAAGACTGTAGAATTACTGATCTCTGAAACAGTGACTGGACCAACACATAATTTATAGGAGCTGGTGCTACAGTCATCTTGCTTTCTTCTCCTGCGCCTCCCATCCCCCCCCCTTTTTTCATCATGTCCCTCATTCTAGAAGCCTGGAGAGCAAAAGACCATCTTGTCTATTAATGATCTTACTGATGTTACTTTGGGAATCTTCCCACTAAAAACTCGGCGCAAATACTTGAAATTACTTTGGGAATCTTCCCACTAAAAACTGGGCGCAAATACTTGAAAATATAAATATATGGATATTTTAAAGTCAGCCTATTGGAATGTGTGGAATATCATCAAATAATGCAAGGAGGAAAGGAGAGAAAACCACTTGGAATGGAAACATACAGTTCCATCAGTCTCTTGATGTACAGAGAACCTTTATCAAATTCAGGAGAAGGATGGTTCATTTTTGTTCCAAAACCAAATTCTACTCTAATGAAGAGGACAATGCTTTCTTTCCATTCATTTCAATGAAAGAAACAGAATTCTGCACATATTCCTTTAAAGGTGCAATTCTCCCCACTACTGGAACAAATATAACCAGTCATGTTCATATTTTTAAAAGGTTACTTAACAGACTGTCTTCACCCGTATAAGCCCATCCCTATACTTTGGTCATCATCAGGAGCTCTACTCATATCCTCACTAATTAGAATAGGGGAACTATGCAAAGTATTCCCTCTGGTGACCTTCCCACAGTGGAATTCCCTTCATGCTGCTTTGCACTTTACTTTTTTGGTGTGTTTCCTCATAAAAGCTTTACAATTTTTTTTGTTCAAACTAAGTAGTAGTTAAATTCATCTTCCCTGTCAACACATGAAAACTTGACATAATTCCTTCAGTTTCAAACAGTAAACTTCTTTGGCCAAAATCCTTTTGGTGTTAATGAAGGGATGGTGTAAGCTGCTGTGATTACTTTTCATTAATCATCTGTCATGTATCCAACTCAGCCCAATATCCAACCCAGCATATCATCAACTAGCTGCAATTAATTGCAGCAACTTTTGCATCCCCTCTATGAAGACCAATAAAATTTTGGCTTTCATATCTCTAGAACAATAGCTCCCCACCTTAGGTCCCCATATGTTCTTGGACTAAAACTCCCAGAAGCCTTTACCACTAGCTGTGCTGGCCAGGATTCGTGGGAGGAGTAGTCCAACAACAACTGGAAATCAAGATTGAGAACCATTGTTCTTAAAAAGTAGGATATAAATTTCATACATACATACATATATACATACATACATACATACATACATACATACATACATACATGGTTATTCGGTTGTTCAGAAACCTATAATTGTATCAAGAAGTAACTGTGGATAAGTAGAAAGAGAAGTGCTGATATAGCTCAGTGAGTTAGAGCATCCAGCTCTAGAGCCACAACCCGGGAATTCAAATCTTTATTGTGTCTGCTGGGAAAGAGGCTAGCCAAGACCACATGGAGCATATGCGGCTGACTGGGTTATACATCCTGCCACCAATGCAGCCTTGGGCAAGCTGCAATTCCCAAGACACAATAAGAACAGACTTGTGTAAATCTTTAATAATGAATATAATTATTAATTATTGGAGGAGGAAAGAGTTAATGGAACTGAATAGGCCCAGACCCAAAAAAACAAGCCAGCCAGAATCCAATAAATCCAACCATCAAAAATATATTCTTTTTCTTCTAGTCTTATATTAACCTTGGATGCACCTGCCAATTTATAATGCATGCATCAGTTTGCACTTAGCAACCTATTGCAAAAGTTAAAATTAATGTGTTGTTTCATTCGTTCACCTGTGTCTGTCAAAGCAATGTTTACGAAGCACCAAGAGAGACAAAGATTTCTGGTTTGACTACATTTCTGAGCAAGGATATTCATTAAGGCTATATAATAGCTAAGAAACTACAGAAAGCAATCCTAAAAATACATGTTCACTGTTTACCACAAATCAAAGACAAATTCCCCATTACACTTTTTAAAAGGAAAAAGAAAAAGAAAGAAAGAAAGAAAAGGACTTAAGGAGGAAAAAAAAACCCACTAGGTTGGGTCAGTGTCAAACTAACCCAATATTCATGGCTAAATAACTAACTTGATGCTGGCAGGGACTGTGGCAGCAGTTGAGCTCCCTGATCTCCTGGCCAGAAGAAAGGTTGCTGGGTGCCAGCTGAGATGGAGCAGAAAAGGAAAGAAAAAGAAGTATTAGGAAAAGGAGGCACATCTGTGTTTCAGCAAGATACAAAGATATTTGACAAAGAATACCTCGGATGGTTTTCGATCTTCGTGCTTAGAACATGAACTCCGCTGGTGTTGAGACCTAGAATGCTGGGACCAGGTTGACAAGCCTATAGGACAGGGAAAGAAACACAGGACTGAGAACAGCATATACACTGGTCCAAAAGCACCTGGCTCATCCCCGTTGTTAAAACCTGCCTAAGCTAATCTGAACAAGTCTTCTTCACTAAAGGAAGAGCTAACTGTTCATTCCAATCTCATTCTATTCCATAATGGACCCGCAAGAGGAAAAATGTCAGTTTAGTTTGATTTCCCTACGAACAAATCTGTATACAGCGGTGCCTCGCTAGACGATGATAATCCATTCCACTGAAATAGCTGTTTAGCGAAATCATCATGTAGCAAAAAGCATTTCCCCATTGGAATGCATTGAAACCTGTTTAATGGGGAAGAATCGTCGTTGTCTAGCGAAGATCGGTCACAGGAAAGCCAATTTGCGAACCGCCAATCAGCTGTTTAAATAGCTGTCTTGTGAAGCATAGGTCCTGAAAACACCCGTTTTATGAGTGCTGAGGGAGCTGTCAAAATCGTTGTCTAGCGGAAATTGGCTTGCGAAGCAGGGACCAAACATTGTCCAGCGAAATTCCCCCATAGGAATCACTGTTTTGCGAATCGCTATAGCGATCGCAAAAAGTCAACGTCTAGCGAAAAAACTGTCATGCGGGGTAACTGTCTAGCGAGGCACCACTGTAATTTTTCCATCTCTCAGTGGAATAGACAACCAGTATAATAGTGGCTGTCCTGATGGCCCCAGATTGACTCCGATTTTATCCTTTCCTGGACTACCCACACTGTTAGGATATGACAGTAAACTAGCAAGCTTCCCAAGGGTTCAGCTTCTTCACATGCTGACAGAAGCGCTACTCAAAAGCTAGCTAAAGTTCTATACAAATACAGCTGATTTTATTAATGGACTCACTGCATATTTTTTTAAAAACAAATAAAACAAAATAGAATCAGAAAACATAATTTTGTTATGAACTCTCCATTCCTTTTTCCCCACAACACAATATTACAATAAACTAATTGAGTGGAAAAGTAACTATTTCATTTAAAGACAAAGATGCAACCTTAACATTTTGTTACACACCAACATGTTCCTTCGCCGTTAGGCAGAGCCTAGCTATACATTTTTGATGCACACTATATTCTTGAACTTTGCAAAACTTTACTGGCCAAAATCCTGTTGCTTCTAGAGATCTTACCCTGCAGGTCTGCACTGACAGGAAAAAGCAAGCCACTAGAAGTAAATGAGACTATGGGAGCATCTGATTGAGACAAATACAACTACACCTAAGCATAGATAACTAAAATTATCATTTAAAAAATGGGAGTTTACATCAAAACTATAACTTCAGTTTCAAACCAAAAGATAAAGAGTATAATTTGGTGGGTACATTCATAATTGGGAAAATTACTTTCTTTACAACAGGGCAAGGAATACCCCAGGCAGCATTCCCACTGGCTTTCCCCATCTGAATATGAAAGGTAGACAAATTAAATTTTGAAATAAATGTTGAGATACATGCTACTAATAATTTATGGCCCAAATTCTGAGTAATCAGAACGATGCACTGTCAGCAGCAGATTGCTACTGATTAAAGACTTTCTTTATTGATTCTGGAATGCATACTACTTGCATGCATTAAAATAAAATCATGTACATTCCAAAATTGAAAAAGGAAATCTTTAATCAACTGTGTTATTCCCACTGCATGGATGGAGACACACAAACCAAAAGGATATCTGGTAATGAATGCACATGACTTTAAGTTGAGATGCTTACTCAAGAAGTTTCCCAAAAACTACAGCAAGAATGATTTTGGCAGGCTTGATTGAGGTACAAAGATGGGAATGAATCACTTGCTAATCTAAGAACAAAAAGAATGGCTATGCCTCTCAATACAAGTGGTTGGAGAATACAAATGGGAATACTGTACTGTATGTTATTGTATATGTATTCTGATCGTGTACCTGGTCAGTCACTGTGGAAACAGAATACCGAACTACTGTAAATAAACTCTTGGTGTGTTTCAATGTGGATCTTGTATAAGGGAAGGGGAGGCGATGATCAAAGAGCAAAAAGTGAATGGCATCAAAGGAATTGAAACAAAGTTTATAATTTCACGGGATCATTCTTTCATAAGAACACCTCTCAGGTAGTGTATATAGCATATACAGTATTCTTAATGTCATTAATTAAAATATTTACATACTATTGCTTGATGTACAGGGAGCTGGTTAAAAAGATGATAGATAAAACTACTACATGCAGTATGCTCTAGGACAGAGGTCCCCACCCCCTGGTCCGCGGCCTGGTGCCAGGCTGTGGCCTGAGCTGGACCAGGCTGTGGAGACAGACCTCCCCCACCCCCAAAAGCACTCCCCCCCACAGCCCATTTGCGCCTGTGTGTGAGCGCAAGCGCACCCGCATGAGCACTACGCCGCCCTTTGCACATGTGCATGGGTGTGTGCGTGCCCGTATAAGCACCCCTGTTCCTTTTTAGATGCACAACCAAACACGCACTTCTTTGCGTATGCGCGCACACAGGGGGGGGCACCTTCCCCAGCCAGTCCATGGGGCTAAAAAGGTCCGAGACCGCTGCTCTAGGAAATCTAAATCAAAACCAGTTTACTGATTTCTTGAAAACTAAGCATTTGGAGCGAATTTATATAACATGTTTTCATCTATATGTAGATTCCTAACCATTTTAGAGCATGTATTTGCATGACAATAATGCAAGAACTAAATGAATTGCAACCTGTAGCAATATTCATGGCTTTGCTTTCTGGAAAAAACGCTCCCCAAATCATAGCTTAAAATAGTTATCTCCATGATCACCTAGCTCAATTATATACAATAAAACACTCAGGACTGCTCACATAGAGAAGCATAAATGAAACAAACAAATAAAACATTGTATATGGCAACAGATGCTAGGTAAGGGTAAGGGTATGACTATCTCTGCCACACCGCACTTGTAATCCTCTCAAAATCATCTGGATGCCCACTGCTATACAAATGAGTGAAAAAATAGACAGACCAGAAGGAAAATATTATGGTTTAGTTATTTTTAGAGTCAGAGACACTTTATAAAAGAGAAGGAAAAAAATAATGGAGGAGCTGTCCACTCCAAATTAGTAGCTAAATTAGCTGGTCTGGTTTGCTGAAACTATTCCTAAAATGCTACTGACATATCAACAACTGAATACAGCACAATGTAATTTTCATATTGTTTTAAAGTACTAAGCAAATAGGATGAAGCATGCTTGCTATTTTAATTGAAATAAGTAATAGTAAGCATACATGCTATTTGAGAACAAACATGTTTCAATTTGAACCAGCAAAGCAAGTACTGCAAAGTAAATGGCTTTTAAACAGCAAAAAACCCAATTCTTCCTATGATTTCCAACATTTGTCATTTTATAATAATGTCAGAAATTGTATTCATGTTAATTGGCTCAGAGCTGTATTTCCAAATAGTGTGCGCAACACTTAACAGAAGGGAAGTGTTCAGCGTGAGACTGAGAGCAAGAGGGATGCCCCACTCATGGGAGAGCCGCCCCTCCTCAACAGCAGAGATGGGGAGGTGGACCGCAAACCCGTACCCAAACCTTCGGTGGAACCTCCGGGGAAGACAGTGATAGAGCAGCTGACAGAAGATGTACAGAAAGTGACGACAGGGGAAGTTCAGGGAGACAAGGCAGGAAAGGAGAGAAAGAAGAGGGTGGAGTTTGAAGCAGGAGCGGAGGGAAGTGGAAAGGAGGGAAGGACAGTTACTGCCTGGATGGGAATGGGTGTGGAAGCAGGATCTGTGGACTGGACAATCTGGACGAGGAGACCATGCCCTTGTTGGGAGGCGTGACGAGGCAGACAGTAAAGGACTGGGTCTCCAATAATATCAAGGGACCCTGGGACTATAGTTACAAAAAACCTGTTATTGTTTGATGAATGGAAGCCCCTTCTGGACCAGTTGGCAGAAGGAGAAAAGACTCACAACCATGTTCCAGATAGTTTTTTATTGTTTACCAGTAATCCTCTAATAAATCCTACACCTGTTTGAAATAACATGGATCTGCTGATTTCTTTGAATTGAATTTAGAGCCTAAAGTCGAACTCTCACAGTAGCAGCGACAATATTTGTTCCAAAATTTAGATTACAAGAATATTAACTTACCATCAAGAATCCTTTCCTATTAAATCTCCACAATCCCAGTCAAACCAGATATCAACAACACAACTCTTACACCATATAAAACAACTAGCTTACCTGGGCACAGTTATGATTTGAAGCCCCATGGCAAACTCAACCCTTTGAGATGAATGAGACTTAAAAATGCTTACCTTTAGCAAAACTGTGCCCTATAAAAACCTCCACTGCTTTTCCACACTTTCGTAAGGGTTCCAGATAGGTAACAAAAGATTCTAGAAAATATCATGTTTTAGAGAAAAACAATATCCCATGTCCTTAGAATGCCATCTCATATAAATATGTTTTACAGAGCTTCCAGAAGAATTTATGGAATTGATCAAATACTAAATTAAACAAAATGGCTTCAACTGATATGCAGAATATCGCGGTTTATGGCTGAACTGCAGGCCCAACATAATACATGTAGGAAATCATGAGACTACTACCTGCATATGCTGAGTTTTACATACTGGTTTTAGTTTGCTGTTGTGGCTATCTGGTGTTACATAGCTGCAAATGTATTTTGTTCTAGGTAGAACCACTTTGGTTTATTTTATGGGAGCACAGGTTAATTGCATACCCTACACACAAAATGTACTAAATTAATAGTCAAATTTGGTGGGGTTAACATTTCAGAGAGTCATGGCCCCAAATTATCTTCAGAAGTGTTTATCAAGTGATTTTTCAAGAGAATAAATCTGAACTACAGTGAAATTTTGTTTGCAGGTTTCAGAAATCTGAAGACAATATGTCCATTTTCAATTGGACACTACACCTTTAAAGAAGTCACCAACATTACAACTCATAATGCATTCCACTTCAAATACATTTCACTCCTGTTACATCCACATCACGAG